CACACGCACACACACGCACGCGCTCACGCACACGCACACACGCACACACACGCGCATACGCACACGCGTTTACAAACGCACACACGCAAACACACACACGCACACACACACACACGTACGCGCATACGCACACACGCACGCACATTCACACAATCACGCAGCCACACATTCTCACGCATCTGCACATTCACACACCCACACGCACACACCCACACATCCACACGTTGACACAGTCACACATTAGCGCATGCACACATTCACACATACGCACATACACACATTCACACATTCACACATCTACACATTCACGTATTCACGCATGCACGAATCCACGCATACATTCACTCAGTGACACAGTGACACAGTCACACATGCACACATTCACACATCCTCACAATCACAAGGTCACAGAGTCACACATCCACACATCCACACATTCACATATTCACACATCTACACATTCACACATTCATTTTTCTTACATTCGCAGATTCACGCATTCACACATTCACACACTCACACATTCACACAGTCACACATTGACACACACACACACGCCCACACACCCAAGCACACATCAACGCACACGCACACGCACACACGCACACGCACGCGCGCACACACGCACTCGCAGACGCACGCGCACGCACACACGCACACGCACGCACGCGCGCACGCACGCGCACACGCACACACACGCGCACGCACACGCACGCGTACGCGCTCACGCACACGCACGCGCGCACGCATACGCACACGCGCATGCAGACGCACGCGCACACGCACACGCACACGCACACGTACACGCACCTGCACGCGCGCGCACGCGCACACACACGCACACGCACAACACACGCACACGCACACGCACACCCACCCGCACACACGCACACACGCACACCCGCACACCCACACACGCACACAACAAACAAACACACGCACAAACTCACCCACACACACAACTCACTACACACAACACACATCACACAACACGTATCACACAACACGCAATACACAATACACAGTACACAACGCAACACTACACAACCCAACACACACAAACACACACACACACCACACCCATACACCCACACACACACAGACACGCAGACACACCACACCCATACACACAGACACATACAGACAGACTTTTCGCGTCGGCGGCGAGGCAGGGTCGGGTGCGCTAGTGGAAAAGGCCTAAACGGGGGTGCCGTTGAAGCGAATTGTGCCACCATGCAAGAGGGGGGAAAAGGCGGGGGACGCGGCCAAAAGAGGGGGCAGAGGGAGCGAGCCGTTCAGGGGGACGGTTCACGCCCCGAGCGCGTGGCGCGGCCAGCCCCGCCGGCGGGCCCGTTGCGGCTGCTGCACCGGGGGGCCTACGGCAGCGGGGCGCACTGCGAGGGTGGGATCCGCCCCGGGGTGTAAGAGTGCTAAACGAACAGCGTCAAAGCTTCACGGCCGCCCTTCCCCAGGGCGGGGGCGGGCGTGTTACCAGCAGAAGCTGGGGCGCCAGCGGCGGGCGGCAAGACCATGCCCGGTGGGAGAGCGCGGGCGACGGCAGCGGGCAGCGGCGCGTAAGGGAGGGAGAGCGAAAAGGGGGGAAAAGCGAACAGGGAGGAGGACGCCCCACCTGTGGGGCCCACAGGCGGGGCGGCAGGGCGGCAGCACCGGCAAGGCGAACCGCCCAGCACAACGGGCAGCGGGGGAGCAGGGCGCGTCCGTCGCCGAGCGGGGGCAGTACAGACACACAGTCACACAGACACACAGACACACGGACACACAGACACACGGACACAGACAGACAGACAGACAGACACACACACACGCACACACGCACACATACACACATACACATTGACACACACACACACACAAACACACCATACCACACACACAGATATCACACATCACACACAGTACAGTACACACAGCACACACGCACGCAAACACATACATATTCACACATTCACACACGTCCCACACATTCACACAGAGGCGCGCACCCATTCACGCACACACACATTCGCAAGCATTCACACACAAACACACGCACACACAAAGGTTTCTCAATGTACTGTGCGAGGCGGCGCTTCCCGACGTATCTGTGAGTTTTGTTTCTGGCCCTTGTCACGACGTAGTACACATGATCCGGGAGCACATGGGGGTGCCCCATTGAAAGCCTCGCGGCACGGCCGCGGACATGCTACCCAGTTTCATGCCGCTTTACCTCCACATCCGCCCTCCTCTCCTTCCACATCCAGGGTGGCGGGTGGTGCGATGCGCGAGCTCACTCACACGGCGGGCTGGGTTGAGACTCAGGCGCCCCCCGACTTCATGAGCTCGCCGTTGCGGTGGCGCGACAATGCAGTGGGAAACTTACTCTCCACGTCCTTCTGCTCCACCTTGTTCTCTCCCCAACTGCTCTTTCCCTTGCTTCTGCGACAGGTGCCGACGGGGTACCTCTCACAGGCTCACCAAGGTCACCTCTGTCAGCAACCAGGCCCCCCGCAATTTGCCAGCCCTTCTTGTGGCAGGAGGCTCGAAGCTGAGGGCAGAGATTTGTGGCGTTCCCATTCGGAACCGTGGTGCAGCTGAGGACAGACACGGTGCAGCTACTGGTGGGTACGGCAAGCGTGCTTGAGCTTACGTGGGGTGTTGATTTCAGGTGGCGGTGTTCTGGCCGTGAAGGAACTTTGTAGTACTTGGTGGCGCAGTTTAGTGGCGGGCCAGATGTAAGAACTATGGTGACAAATAGTTTGCCATATTGCAGTTCAGAAGATGCGTTGATTGTTTGATATTGTTACGAATGCGTATGTAAGGAAGAGCGTCTTGTCTGGGCGCGTGAGGGTTATGGTCGGGATCCGAGCCAACCCCCATTCCACAGTCCCCGGCGTTTTCTAAACGCCCCCCTAAACAAACAAACAACATCAGTGTGTGGGGGGGGTCGACCCATTTGCGGGTCGAATCCCAACCGACCTGGACGAGCCCCTACCGACTGGTACGGCTGGTTTCACCCAACACAGACAGGCAACAATATTCCAAAACCAATTTGCCAAGTAGCCTCACAATCTGAATTTGTGCGTGTAACAGCTCAAGATTATCCAACATGAAAGCGACATCCGTTCATGCGTACATGATGTTCTGGTGAGCACATGCGTGCCCAAGTTGAATATTATCCAAAAACCAGTTCTTCTATGCGTACCTGTGTTCTTGGAAACATGCGTGCCCAATGGATTGGTTCAATTCTAGACGCTTCGCGTAACCCCACCGGTGCTTGGCTCGCAGTCGTTCGGCTTCCCCCCTGCACTGTTGGGTGGATTGGCGGGTGTTGAAATCGCCACGGAGTGGTTCAGCCCTTGGCAGCAGCTGCAGCACTCCAGGCTCACCTACCAGCTTCTGGCAGGTTGCGTTGCACCACGTTCCGCGACAACTCAGCCCCCCTGGCTAGCACACGTCTGGGCGGTTGGAGCCTGGCGCCCCACTGGCGACTCGCTCCTCGGGCCTCGCGCCTGTCCCCATTCAGAATGACGGGCACGGTCGCTCAGGTACACGTCATGTCACTGTGTGGGTCGTGCCTCACGGCAGGCGTCGAATTCCTCGACATCTTGTCCACTGCACGTGCCCGAGCTTCCCAGGATGCCCCCCGCCGTCAGCTCCCCCACAGCCTCGCGGCTGCTTCGTGAGTGGGCCGGCCGGCTTGCGGCGCGTCTTGTAGCTAATTAGCCCCGTTCGCGCTCCAGATCTTGCTTTCGCCGCCTGCCTCTTCGCTGGCTGCCGCGACCGAAAAAGTAACCCCACCGGTTCCGTAGCCCCCTTGGCTCAAGCGCTGGTCCAAGCCAGCTGGGCACGAGCAGCACGCACAGGCCTGCGGCGGAGCGGAGCGCGCGTGGCCCACCGTCTGGTGGTGCGGGGCGCGCACGGCCCGACATGGCTGCACTCGGCGAGCTGGCGCTGCGGCCGTAGGCTTGCCGCCTGGGCCGTGGCTCCGAGCTCGAGTGGCCCGGCCTGCTGCAACCTCGCGCGAGGGGCGAGGGCCCGCCGGGGACGGAGGAGAACGGCGGCGAACTCGACGACGGCGGCCGGCGCCCGGCGGATGTGTATATTCCCCGATGGCGTAACGGTGCCCCGGCCGCCCTGGACTTCGCGGTCACCTCGGGGCTGCGGGGCGACTTGCTCGCCGCCTCGGCTGCCGCGCCCGGCGCCGCGGCCGAGGGGTACGAGGAGCAAAAACGCTTCTTCCTCGACACCGAGCGCAGCTGCGCCGCCGCCGGGATCACCTTCATTCCCATGGTGGTCGAGGCGCACGGCGGCGGCTGGGGCAAGGAGGCGCGACGCGCCCTGGCCGTCCTGGCCAAGCGCGCGGCGGACGCCACGGGGGACGACCCCTCGTAGGTGGCGGCGGAGCACGCCCAGCGACTCTCGCATCTCCTCCAGAAGGAGAACGCGCGGGCCGTGCTCCGCAGGCTGCAGGCGCCGGCCGGGGCGCCCGCGGCCAGGCTGGCGGCGGCCACGGCGGCTAGCGCGGCCGACGCCGCCTGAACCGCCGCCTTTCCCTGACCGCGACCATTCCCTCTCCTGACCACGACCGCCGCCCCCGACGCCCTGCCCCAACGACCCCTCCTCGCCTTGGCCACGACGACGACCACCTCCGTCCGCCCCCTGCTTGCTCTGCGCTGCCTCTGCTGCTCCCCTCCCTCCTTCTGGTCGGCGTCTGTTCAGTGTGTTTGTCCCCTTGCCCCTCGTCTTCCTCCTCCTCCCCCTCCTCCTCCTCCTCCTCCTCCTCCTCCTCCTCCTGCTCCTCTCTCTCCCTCCCTCCCCCAGGCAGCGCAGCCTGCCCAGCGCAGGCAGTGCGAGGCGCGAATTTTGTGGCTTAGCGTGTCGCGCCGCCGGTTCTGGCCCACCACGATTTCCAGACCCTTTGAGTCATGAGAGAATCTCGACGGCAGGTTTTTCATTGTTTTTTTCTGCCTGCAGCACGGCATCGCGCTGCATCAGCTCATGACTCTCCAGTAGCAGCGCGCTGGACCAACGAAGCAACGCTCGCCAGCAGCAGTCCAGTGGATTTTTGTGTGCAGCGTTGGAGCGTGGTCGGAGACTGGCGGTCAGCGTGCGCCGCCGGTCTACCACCTGCTGGTCGGCCCCCTTCTCAAGGCAGAGGGCGGCCCCAGACGCCCCCCTTTTTGCGCGTTGTTGACGCTCAAGCTCGCTCTCGAACTTGGCTGGGTTTCGCCGGTTTGCACTTCGTGGCGCTGGGCGGCTCCGCCCGCCGAGGCCCTTGCTAACGCTGGGTTCCGCAAGTGTGCTCGGGCTTGCCGCCGTGCTCGCGGCGGCGGCGCGCCGTGCCGCTGCGCCGCCTTCGGCGCCTCCTGCTGCTGCCGCTGTTGCCGCTGCTGCTTCGCGGGCCCCCCGCGCCGCTTCGGCCTGAGGACGAGGAGGACACGGGCGACGCGGACGACGCGGGAGGGATGAGGGGGAAGCTGCGGAGGAACGACCCCTGCGGCACCGCGACGAGCTACAGCGCCGCGACGAGCGCGGGCGAGAAGTGCGAGCGGTGGCAGCCAGCCCCGTCGCTGCTCAGCGAGGTGTGGGTGGTGAGGCTGGAACCCGACATCATCATGGTTTACAGCGACCAGGACAGCGCGTGCGAGAAGTGCTGGCAGCGGCAGCCAACCCTATCGCTGCTCAGCGAAATGTGGGTGGTGAAGCTGGAACCCGCCGTCAAGAGCTCTGGCACTCCGATCAGAGCGCGCGAGAAGGGCGAGCAGTGGCAGCGGGGCCCATCGCCGCTCAGCGAGAGGTGGGCGGTGAAGCTGGAGCCCGACATCACGAGCCACAACGCGGGGCAGCCGGCCCTAGCGCTGCACAGAGAGATGTGGGTGGTGAATCTGGCACGTGGCGTTAACGCTGAATACATCGACGAGATCATCAACTGGTTTCGCGAGCAAGCGGATGCCCAGTTGCATGTGCCACCGGCTCCTCCTCCAGAGTTGCTGGATACGCCTGCTGCCGCTTCCGTGGCCGTGCCGCCGCCCTCGCCCACGCATCCCCCGCCGCCTGCGGATGCTCCTGCGGTGCGCCCGCGCGACATCCAAGCGGCCACCGCCCACGCCGCCTACGCCACTTGCGTCAGTGGCAACACACGCGACCGCGCCGCCTCAGCCGCTCCTGAAGGCTATTCCGAAGGAGCCACCTGCGCCGCCACCACGTCCGCCCGCGGTCCCTGCAGCGAATGTTTGCGCGTCGGCGGCGACGCCCGTAGATGCCCCGCCGTCTGTGGTATCCGCGCGGCCCGCGGAGCCTTTCAACCTGACGGTCATGGGCGCGCACGACTGCTGTTCTCCCTCGCGACGCGAAGCTGCTGACATTTTGGACATGCACAATGACTCCGTCACTCCCAGGGAGTGCGACGTCCGCCAGAAGATGCCTGACCTTCCCTTGGGTTCCTCCTCTACGCGGACCCGGGCAGTGCAAGGTTCGCAGTGACAGCTCAGCGTATGATAGCAACCTCTATCATGGTGATTACGTCATCAAGCATGCGCCCGGCTTGCATAACAGTGGCTGCTTCCCCGACCATGCATGTATTACATTCTGCAACGCGAAGACAACAGTAGGGCCCGGATCTTCTTATTGGTAACATGCCCTGGCCATGACTTGGGACTCCGAAGTCTGTCAGCCAGTCGCTATCTGCAGCTCTGCGTCACGACAAGAGCGGGCCGAACGGCCTGAATCAATTCTTGGACCGCCGTGTCAATTGGACAATCGTGGCCAAGTGTAGACAAGTAGTACATCATCGCTGTCCTTCGTTTCCTACAGTTGCACATCGATGATGCGAAGGCCCGCTTCCAGGTCTTCGTCCGCCGTCCCGATCCGCATGCTGCCGACTCGGTTTTTGGGCGGGGTCAGGCATTGGCCATTCGGGCCATCGGCGGGCGCAGTGCCGTGCATAAAATCAGCAGACCCCGGAACCATGGGGTGGGGGCGACTTTCCTGGACAGAAGTGAAGTACCTACATTGTTCCACTACTAGCACCCGCAAGTCAGGTATTATTCCTGGATGCGGAGCGGGACGTTGGACGCGGAAAGTTTTTTTTTTTTTTTTTTTTTTTTTTTTTTTTTTTTTTTTTTTTTTTTTCGGAGCCCGCGCACCGCGGTTGCTGGCTACAAGTTCGAGCACAATAAGAAGCAGGTGGGCGTGGCTATCGATGTGCATGCGGCGTCCGAGGCCGGATGTGAATTTTGGCATGGCGAGCAACGTGCCATCATGTGTCCCCAGACAGTTCCTCCGATGGCCATTCTCGCCATTCGCGCGGTCGGAGGACGTCCTCTCTTCCCGAGCACAACAAATCATGGACCTACGCTCCGCTGGCAAAGCTCCCCGAGCCACGGAGCCAGTGCGAAGTCTGCGAGGTTGTGCCAGTAGTCGCACCTGCAGCAAAGTCTATGCCGAACCCACAGTCGCATCGCAGACCCAACGTGGCCTCGCCCAAGCCTCGTGGATGCG